GGGCGGGCTGGTAAAATAAGGTTTGGATGGTTTACCGCAATACGTTTTGTTTACGCCACACATCGATCGAAACAGCTTAGATTATTTAGGAAGCGGGCTGCTTCAACCCCACCTGCCAGAGCCAGTTTGGACGGCGAGGGATATGTTCCCACAGAGAGACGGTGATATTTCACCCACAAGTGAATCCAACAAAAAAGTACGGGTTGAGAGCGAGGGAAGAGTCTATTATAGTTACTACACCACAGATGCTCTTTGAAAATTTTGGACTAGTTTATGGTACGGTACGGGAAGTCACATCAAGGACGGGGTTTCACAATATCTAGACGTTTAATTCTTTGGTTGGGGAGTTTGTAGAAGAAGGTTTTATGACAGAAAAAAGACTCATCATACTGCTAACTCGCCTATGAGTTGCGCCAAATGCGTGTCTTTGATCGGGAATGTATTTTCAATACTAACTAAAAAAGAGTACACAGTGGAGAATACAGCAATTAATTTCTATATCAGAATGAAGGGGGCTCTGTTTGTTTTTCTAAAGAACTGATTGACAGTTCTCTGACTTCCACATTTGACCTCTCCCTTCCTTTCCTCGAGAATTATATAATATGTATAATATACACATCATCATTGTGTCTCGAATGTTCCCCTTCAACAATGACTGTCACTGCCGTTCTTTTAGCCCCAACTAGCCAGCCAAAGCACTCCTCCAATTATCACTCACTTTAGCAGCCAAAAGGCGACAGTCGCTACTTTCTTTGTTGTGTGATGTGAGACACAAGTCAAGTTCCTGTCCAACCTCCTCATAACCCATCCACTCTTCAAACTTCAAGGACAAAAAGTCGAACGGACATTTTGTGTGACTAGTCGGGTATTTTAAGATCACATACGGGTAAAAAGATGAGAAGTACTAGTGGTCTGAGCACATATTGCGTGAAACGAAATTAAGAGGGTCGAGAGAGAAATAAGGAGAGAGGGACAGGAAGAGAGACAGAGAGAGGGAGAGAGAGAGAAAGAGAGAGAGAGAGAGAGAGAGAGAGAGAGGGAGGGAGGGAGAGGGAGATTGAGAGGGAGAGAGAGAGAGAGAGAGAGAGAGAGAGAGACCGCCAGCCGCGGCCGTTGTAATCATTATTATCATTACGAAGGTCACTGCTTG